CAAATTCTTCCTGATTTGGTAAGTAGTTTTGTGGGAAAATTTCTAATAAATGATTTCCTGAGTAAAAAAATAAGTAAAAGGGCTTTGGACCTAACCTTATATACAATGAAGATTGCTTCTGTTTTATTCATATAGAGCTACAATTCCTTATCCTCAACTCCAAAATTCAAAAGTTTTTTTTTTGTAAAACTTGAGTAACAAAACCAGACCTCACTTGGTGATACAATTTATAATCTTTATTTGGCCCATTTAGTGTAAATGTTTATATTAATTTTGCTTCATAAAATGCTCCAGAGTCTGCACGGAGTAAAATATATGCTACGTACACTGTATTTTTCTAAAATCCCCAACAATCTGAATTCTGAAACGCATCTGGCCCCAAAGGTTTTACTAATAAGAGACTGTGCATCCTGTTATTTTCCTTTCCATGTTCAAAGGACAATTTAAAGGCGTTAGAGATGATGCCATAGTATTAAGAGCTATTAAAATGTTACAGTTAACACACTACATTTATAGCTAATTTCATTTTTTTCCAGCTAATCCAGAAATTTAATGTTAAATGTCACTAAAAACTGAGATACTGATATTACCACTTCATTAATTTCATATTTCTTCCCATGCCTCTAAGCCCATTAATGCAAAATCATTAAACCCCATAGCTAGAAACAAACCCTGCAAGTCACACTGAGGGAGGCATGTGAACTGCGTATACAGTGGTCAGAAATTACTTCCAAAACGTATACATCATATAGCCACCGAGTAATAAAAAAACGTTCTTAATTCAACATCTTGGAAAGGAAATTCCGAAATCCTAGTCTTGTCCATCAGAAAGGAAAAAGATAGGCTAAAACAGCCTGTGCTGTTCAACCTTCCAGAAAGCTTAGTGATCACATTTACCATGATTAGTCCACTGACAAAGTTCCCAGGTGAATTCTTCTTAATCATTTCCAGATAAAGGGGAAATCAGTTTGGTATGCCTAGTCTGGCAATGCTCCCTAAAGTTCTTTCAGATAAATATCAAACGTGGCAAGCAGGTAGTGGGCAAAATCATTCTAGGCCTATGGGAAGCTTATGTCTGTAATATAAAAGAGAGGATGAGAAATAGGTCTGAAGCTTATCACTATTGTGAGGCTGACCTGGGTTTCATGCTGGGAGGAAACTAAAGCACCACTGCAGTGGCTGGCAGATTTTTAAAAATTCCCCCACAGAAAAAATTATAAAGAAACAATTATAATCGAAAAAAGAAGGAAGGATGTATTTGATTTTTCATGCTGCTTGTCTCTTCATCATTAAAGAGACATATGGCAAGTAGCTGAAAAAAATCTGTTTTAGTTTTAATCCTCAAATGTACTTTTTACTTTTAAGAATATCTTCACATGAAAAGAATCTCAGAATAAAATCGTCCATGACAAGCTTCATAGAAAGATTCTGTGGTTTTCTACGGTGAGGAAAAAGATTTTAAAAGAATCAAATAGAGCTATCAATATATTTTATATTATTTTGACTATTAATGTTAATAATCATTTATTATAATGTAAAATATAATATATAAAACATATTTAGAAAAACTTACTTAAGCCTGACCTTGTTAGCCATCAACTTAATTTCTTTTAAATATCATTCTAGAAATTTTTGGTTTTTAAGAAGGATGGGTTTATTAAGCTCCAAGTCTATTGTAAGCATCGAGCATTTGCTTTTTAAATAAAAAAATTTTCAGTAGGTTTACATATTATTCTAAGAATCACTTGTAGGCTCTATTCTTTACCATGCATGTTTTAAATATGGTAATCATTTTTTCTGTCAATTACAATACATGTTTCTCATTATTGAAAATGTTTGCCTTTTATGGCATACTGCACCTTTAAGCATAATACACAATGCACAGTCAGCAGCTCTCACAAGGGCTATCATTTTCTGTGCAAGAATACTATAATCTCAATTGGTTAACAATTTAGGAAATGTATATAAACACCATGTGGTGACCCACTTTTCTTATGTCCTTTGTATTGCTGGGACTTAGCTTTTTTCTTCTGTTTTGATGAACCTGACTGGCTTTCTCTTGATGCTGTAAAATAAAAGGGAAAATTGGTACCAGATAACTGTTTACAACTACATACATATCTCAGATGAACTATCTTTACCAAGACCATTATGCTTACAAAAGTACATAATGCTTTGGAAATAAGGGCACTTGTTTTGGTAAAACCATGACAGATTCTACTTTTTATTCAATAAGTACTTATTATGTATACATCAGTAAATTTTTAGCCTATAATCTTTAAACTCATTAAAATAAGTCTAGTTTAATTTGTGAGTGCTCTTACTTTTGTGTTTCTATGGTCATCAGGTAACTGACTATTGAGTTCACATGGCCATGGTACACATGGTCTGATTCTGTGATATTGTTGAGTCTTAAGATCTTACCTGGTAACCAATCAGATATAGGCATATTCTTGTCCTGTGAGCTCACATGATGATTATGTGAGACAGTCTTCTGGAGAATTGCTGATTTTTACAAAAGGACACCTTTTCTGTATACCAACTTACACTGTGATGCTGGAGGCTGTAGCTGATATCCAGTTAATTGACACCACCCTACAGGATAGAGGTCAGGGGACTCACAGTCTACCCACTGATCATATTCTTCTTCCCATCCATCAAAATGTATCCTCAAGAGACGATGAATAATTCGCGTTACTGTGGCTACACATATTAAACGTGGCTCCATGAGATCTACTGCTTCTAATTTCATTCCTACACGAAATCCGTGATTTGGAACATCCTGACATGGAGAGGGCAAAACATTAACACTGGTGAAAAGAAGAATGTATAACTTCACTATCACTAACAAAGGGAAAAAAAGGAAGCAAAGTAACCATAATATAACCATAATATAACAAGTAACAATTTAAACCACAGAAGTCCCAAATAATTCTCTATTTATTGAAACATATGAAAGTGAAGCATTTAAGAAGGGGTTAGGCAATGTATTCACATCTATTTTACTCAGATTAAAAAAATGAAACAAAGTTTGGAAATAAGCACTTCCTGAGTAAAGGAAATGTTTATATTGTTTTATTATTCTATATTTGTTTATATTAATCTCCACTAAGAAATTCTAATATAAAGCAAAGACATTTGGATCAATGATAATTTACATTTGTGTGGCATCAACAAAATTGCACATAATTATTATGTCATCACTTAAATTTACCTTATTAAATAGTTTTACTGGTGCTGCAATGGAGCCAGTTTCCCTGAGGTAGTCAAACCATTTAAAAGGAAGTTTTGTGTAACCTGAAAGACACAACTGGTTTTAGTTGCAATTCACTTAAAATGAGTAAATACAAAGTAACTCAGTACACTTAAAATCTCAGGTTTTAGGTTATATGATAAAATTTTAACTCAGGCACTAAAACTGTTGAGTCCAATAATTCCTCTATGTTAAAATAAGAATTTTCTTCTTTTTCTAGAAAGACACTGGTGTACCCACTTATCCTAAGGCAAAAGTGACTCTCCTCTCCTCTGTCTACCTCAAGTACAGACTTTTGCTTTTTCAATCCTAGGCTCAGAACAGTCTAGCATTTAACACTTTCCAGTGACATTTTTCTTTCTTTCCAAGAAAGAAAACTGGCTGGGCAAATACTATTTTTATAGACCTCTGGTTTTGGTTTTCCTTCTTCTTTTCTTAAGAGAAAGACCCAAGGCTCAGATTTTGAAATTAGGAATGTTACCAGTTAAGCCACAAGAACTATTTAAAGGTATATCTTTTAAAAAACTACATGGGAATCTACAAATGAAAACTTGCTTTCTCTCCAAAACTCAAGTATTTCTAAAAAAAGTTTATGTATTAAATAGTCTATTGAGACTATTGAGTCTATTGAGACATCACTATCTCAACAGGACTTGAGAATACTATTCATATTATAAAATGTACAGTAGGCTCAATAAAAATTCTAGACTAATGTAATTTACTGAAGCTATTTGGAATACAGTGCTTTGTGTTTTTAGAGCATTCCATAGCTCCTGTTATGTATGCATATATTTATATATGCAATATATACACATATATTCACCAGCAAGATATTTAGGGCTATGTTAAATGCTGTAAACAAATATCACGTAAAAAGAAATCAAGAACGAAAACCTAGTGTATATGTATTAGGATGAAGTACCTCTAGGTGGAGTAAGTTCAATCATGTTAATTTCACAGAAACCAACAGGGAAAATAGAAGGGGAGGTTGCATGATAACAGAACCAGTCAGATCCATCTGCTGCTTCTGAGCCATCGATCCCAATCATCAGGAATCCGTCAGCCAGCACCTTTTAAATTAAAAGAATTCCAAGTACTTAAAATTAGATACCACCATTACAAAAATGATCCTTTAAGTGACATACTAAAAGAAAGGAAAATCTATTACATAAAGGTCTCTTAAAAGTGAAAAATGTTTTTTTTAATTCAATTATGTTAAATAACTGAAATCATAATGGAAAATCTATGTAAATTCTAGTGTGTACTTTCTAGAAACAAAAGCAGGATTACACAGAAATGATTTCAGAGGTCTAGGAAAAATAGTGCCTTTGCCAAGGGCTAAGGCTGCCTGCTGCTGTGCAAAATCATGAAACTGGGCGGAGTGCTCTTTCTCAATTTAACTATCTAGTCTTGGCTAGGCTCTAAATCCTGCTCAGTAGTAACTTTAATTTCTTTTCTTTGAATTTATCACACAGAGGAGTTTTTCCAAACCTTTTACATCTTCAAGCTCCAACTTTACCTCTCTTATGGTACAGATAACCATGTTCCTTTGTGACAGAATCTAAGGCTGGCTATGCAAGGGTCCTCACATCCCTTCCTTCGTACCTCAGACTGCTGTAATCGTCCCTTTTTCACCGCAGGACAAACTTCACTGGTACTTGCTTCAAAACACCATGTCTTATACTCTAATGTCTCCCATTTTCCATGACATCAAAAATATTTTCAAATATTTTATTTTGAAACAGTTCACACTTAACAGAAAAGGTACTATTCTTGTATAATGAACTTCTATGTCTTCATCCAGAGACCCAGTTCAATAATATAGTATGTAACTGTTGCAGTCTGATTTCTGTTCTTACCCTACTAAACTGCTAAATTTACCAACGACCTAGTTTGTCAAATCTAGTGCCTTTTTCCAAAACTCACCCTCCTCAAACTTTAGACCCTCTGCAGTATCCAATTTCTGTTGAGGACTCTTAACTTTTTGAAATATATTCTCCCAGACTCATTACATTGCGATCTACTCTTTGACCATTCCTTCCACATCTTATTGGTGGCTGCCCTTTCACCTCTAACTCGGTGAGATTATCCACACCCAGTGCTTCAATAGCCGACGTCTATGCCAACAATTTCTCAAGCTTTATCATGAATTTGTCTCCCTTCTAGTTTCTCAGTCCTGCATTTTACTTGCAGGCTGAACAAATTCTCTGAGAGTTGATAAAAGGCATCAAAGCAACAACTCCTCTTACTCCTTTCAAAGGTAATCAATTATAGGTTCCACAATGCTTATTAAACATTTGGTCCTTTTATCTTTGCCATTAACTCTCTCCATATCCTATTTATAGCATTTAGCCTTCCTCTATGGACATTTCCCTTTTACACAGTTAAATTTTCCTTTGGTATGACCTGCTTATGCCAGAACCCTTTACCAGCTTTTCCTGTTGCTAAAGAAAGCTCAGATGGCCTGACCAAGCATTCAAAGCCTGTACTTCCTGATTCCACATTATCTCTTAGTATCTGCCCCCAAGGTCCTTTCTCCTAGTAGAAATAAGGTCCTTTCTTATAGTAGAAATATTTCTACTATATTGGATATGTATATAATTTCTACTATATTGGATATGTATATAATAACTTTTTCTTCGAGTGTAACAGCTTTGTCTAAGACCTCTGGAAAGGACTACCTGTCCTCATGCGGGAATCCTTTCTCCCTTTCTAAATAGCTGACTGTACCAAGGATTAGTATCTAACCTTCAGGGCAGCAAGCCGAAGGAATTAGACTTAGCAGACAGAGACTGTTGTCAAGCCATGGTGGCTCAGAGCTGAAAATGAAAGGCCGTGGTACAAAATAGGACGAGGGGCCACCATGTACAGATTGAGTGGGCAGAACACCAATTGAGAGTGAAAGAAAAGTGGCATAGATTCAGAACAAAAAAGAGATGAGACAAAGAAGACTCTAATAGGTCGAGAGTAATAAATAGCTTATGCCTTTCTAGTTCTCATCCCCGTGTCCTTGCACATATGTGTCCTTAAAGTAACTTTCCTAGAGTCAACTTGGATGGGTTTCTTATAAACAGAGATTGCCCACTGTGTCCTTAAAGTAACTTCCCTAGAGTCAACTTGGATGGGTTTCTTATAAACAAAAGCCTTGCCCAGAATATTCAATGCAACTTGTTTGATGTGTACTGTATGTGAAATATTCGCCATCTCCTAAACGTGGCTGATACCTTCCTCGATGCTTTTGTGCACATTCTTTTCTCACAGTTTTTTCCTGTATCTCTGCTGGGCCTGGTTTTTCCCATCCTTTGAGACGAAGTTTTCAAATGTCCTGTTTTCTAAAAAGCTTTCCCTGATTCCTCTGAGACAATGTGATCTCTCATTTGAACTTCAACAGGCTTTGTTGGTAGTTTTCTTAGGTCACAGGCAATTGTATTAAACTTGTTTTTGTACATCTTACCTTGTTCTACTAGACTGTAAGCTTTTGAGTCCCCACCAAATCTAGCACAGAGGGTTTTGACTAAGTATTTTCTGAATAAAACTTGATATTCTACTTATTGGACACTTCTTTTTCATTTCTTAGAACAGGGCATGGTATAAAGGCACTGGATCCCAAAGCTGGTTGATTGTTAAAATCACCTAGAGAACTTTTCCTTTTCTTTCTTTTTTAAACAAACAGATTTGGGGGCAATATTTCTTGCGATTCTGACTGAGTAAGTCTAAAGTAGATCATAGAAATCTGTTTTAAATCATACCAGGTGACTCTGATCACCAGTCAGGGAGAGAAAGAACAGGGTTTGGAACCAGTCTTGTCTAGCTGTGTGACCTTGAACACAAGTGCTTGGGACCTGGTGGCCATGATAATTGTGTTTAATTCTTTTGGCTTAAGGTTTTAAACTGTGTTGAAATGCAAATCACAACTTAAGTTATACCTTTATGTAAGTAGATTCTGGGTTAGCAGTTCTTAACTACAGCTGTACTTGAGAATCACCTGGGGACTTGAAAAAAATGCCAATGCTAGGGCCCCAAACCAGACTGATTATAGCAGAATGGGGGATGAGGGGGATGAGAGGCCTGGTTACCTATATATTTTTATAAGTTCTCCAGGCAATTCTGATGCTTAACTGAGAATTGAGAACCACTCCTCTAAGTCTTTTCATACAAGCAGTTTCAGAAGAGAAGAAGAAGAGAAAATAAAGTATTACCAAAAGGAAGGAAAAGGCACAAATAGTTAACAAATGAAACTGAATATAAACCTGGCCTCGTTACAATTGTGTTGGACTAGCTTTGACCAGAAAGTAACTTGAATAAATTTTCTTCCTCTAATTTAAGATATACTTACACAAATAAAGGTAGCTAACTTAAGATGACAATCTTGACAATAAACTATATAAAAAGAGAATCTCTGACAAGAGAATTAAAATTCATTTTGAAATTATTAGTAACCTTCTCCCCAGTAACAATCCAGACATACACATTTTATGTCAAAATGAGTATGCCAGGGGCCTCCTTGTCTATTACCTTACACCCAGTTGCTATAACTGCATTTCTATGTTTTAAAACCCATTCTCTTACCTTTCTAATAGTTGCGACACATATTGTGGAAAGATTTAATGGGTCTATAGCTTCCAATTTCATTCCTTCCTTGAACCATTCCCCACTCTGGTCTACTTCTTTTACCTAAAGAATTACATGAAAGCACATCTACTATTACAAATGTTATCGTTTTAACAATTAAAATATTACCAATTTGAAAAGGTTTACCAGACGAAAATACCAAATGCCTTCTCCTACCTACCTAATATTATAACTCAAACTTCCATTAGGGAACAGAGAGAATTCAGGCAAACAGAACTTAAGAATAATTATAATCAATGGTGTGACATCTATGAATTACAAGACTTAATTCTTTTAAGTGAACATATGTAATCGTGATTTCCATAATTTTAGGAAAAAAAACCCACAACCCTCTTTCAAACATAATTTACAAATGAGGGTTCTTATAAAAACTTCTTACCTTAGCAAATAAATGTGGTGGTGTATCAAAATGTCCATCCTGTTTCTTTGTAATATCTACAAGGAAAAGTTACATACTAATCTGTCAGCATTTGTGAGAAGACCAAAAACCACGTTTCTTTGAAGGTTTCAAACTCACAAGGTATGTATTATCTAAAACATGGCAAAAATACATGCCTTCTACATTTATGGTGAATATTCTTTAATAGTCATTCTCTCTTTAGAGTACATGTGCTATTAAATACATTCAGCCAATTAGAATGCTGGTAATTCCCTTATTAGGGAATTACAACTTTATAAGTATGTTTTAATGTGTTTAGTATTAAGTCAAGCCATATGTAATCTTGCTATTTTGATTAAAACTGAATGGAAAGGGAAAGGCTATCTTTAGATATTTCAAATGGGCTGGATAAGAAAAGTATAAGAAAACATGTGTAGTTGTGACCAAAAGTGCGTTATTCTTTAATTGAGAACAAGTGGAAGGAATGTAAAGGAATTAGTTAGGACACTAATATTCTGATGTGAAGCTTCCCTAATTAAGGCAGAATAAGCAGCCCAGACAGCTAGAACGCTATTTTTGAGAAAAATAACCAAGTAGTACAATTCAGCCTCAATATTTTCAACAGGATTTCTGTGACAGGTGCTTACCAGATCTTTTGAATCGATGGCCTATGCTTCGAGACCAACCAATATGATGGATTAATGGGCTGTGCATATGGCACCAGAAGTCATCTGTTCTATCTTCACTGTCTTCATATACTAGTCTTAATCTTCCTCCAATTACACTTTCCACCACTGCCACTCGTGTTCGACACAAATGCCTCTTGTCAACCACTTCTACTCTCATGCAAGGTTTGAAAGGATACTGCATACTTTCTGAAACCTCGAAACAAAAGCAGACAAAAACTGGAATTCATGACAAAGGTCTACAAATCATTTTAATACTGCACTGTGGAAAATACTGAGAGCACTCAATATTTAATAAAGATCTGGCTCACTAAAACAACTCCTTAAAAAACTTGGCAGTTACTCCTTTTTGTAGAGCTCTCATTTGATACGTTAGTCCTTTCTAAGATCCTATCTTTACCTTTTGTGAGAAATCAGGAGGAAGTGTTTTGGCACCAGTAAGTCGTTTCACTAGAAAAGCTTTCCAGTTTGTATACTTATGCTGAATAGCTAAAACAAAAGAAATAACCAGTTACACTTTAGCAAAGAGTAGAACTGCTTCATAAAGTATTTGTTAAAAAAAAAAGTAACAAATTTCCTTGCAATTTTCAGTATTAATTAATGTCCTGAAGAACAACAACAAAAATAGAGAAAACAAGTATGTCTTGCCAGCAAGTAAGTTACTTGAAACCCAAATGTAGTATTTTAATTTCTGTACAACCTTGATGTTATTATGTGTGAAACTGCCTTTAAGTACATATCTCTAAATGACAGTAAGGATACCTAAGCTACTTACTTCTAGGAGGGACAAGAGGTTTTCCACTGGCTGCACACCAACCAACTGGATGGATATCAGAACCACATATATTGCACCAGAAGTCCAGACCAGAGTCATTTTCAAATCCTTCATATCGTAAAAGGGCATTGTAACCTGAAACCAACAAATCAATCATCACATGAGAAAATGAAATAAAACAGGATATGGGTGCTGGTAGTGGCTGTCAAATGTTGTGCACATCTGCAACATAATCATGTGCAGGGCTTGTGAATGGACAGATGGCTCGACCCCATCCCAGGGATTCTGATTAGTCGATACTGGTTGGGTCTCAGAGTCTGCATTTCTAACAAGTTCCCAGTAATGCTGCTGCTACTAGTGTATGGATCAGACTGTAAGAATGACTTGTACAATGCAATCAGTTTAACTGTTTCAGAGCATGGTTATCATTTCTTAAATTCTAGAAAACAAATTCTCAGTAAAAACAAGGGTAGGAAAGTGCTACTAGAATGCGTAGTTCTGAAAAGAAAGAAGATTGTGGTGGTGAGTCAAAACTTGTCAAGTCACAGAAACCCAGTTAAAGTATATCAAAGAAATTGCTTTATCTAGCTGATCAGGTGACCAATTAATTATTCTTGGATAATTTGGATGTGGCTATTTTAAGAGTCTAAATTTTTCTGTCCTGTATATTTGGAAATAAGATTTGAAAATGTTAGGTAAGAAAATTCAATAAACACAAACAAAAGTAAACCACTTAAAAACTGTAGGTTCAAATAGAAAGCTGTATCTCCTAGAAAGAATAAAAAGTATTTGATATAACCTGTTTATAATTTAACAAATCTTATGATGATTTAATTTAAGGCCTTTAGTGGAATAAAAAAGGCCCAATAAACTTGTATTTCAGGCATGGAGCTAAGTTCAGTCCCTATTTTCATGTGTTAATACCTACAATGAAAATTTTAGTTTTAAAATTCAAGAATTCACAGAATAATTCATGAGTTTGTTGTCGAGCTCTAGTTCCTGATTAACATCAGGCTAATTTCTAAAACCAATAAAGTGGCTTAGAATAAGATATATGAGGCAATTAGATAAAACAGAAATGTAAAGCCAGAAATGGAAGGTAGTAATAATTCTTGGCTATTAAATGCATCTGACTTAAACATCTAAGACAGAAACAACATATCACTTTTTTAAATTAAGGCCTACAAAATAATAAAAGCATTTAGAGGATGCTTATGTGGCTGGGGAACTGTTTCAAAGAAAATGTGGGAATTGAATTGGGTTATATGCGATATACAAAGCATGGAGATCTCTCCAGGCAGAGGTGACAAAGAACATGCGGTATGAGGGAGGAGGGATATAAATCTCAACAGCTCACGTATGCTGGGATCAACAAAAAATTTTGTTTCTGGTGTATGGCCCAACTCAGTTGTAAATACTGACCATCTTGATCCTTTAAGAATAAAGAAGCTGTTAAAGACGCCTGAGCAGAAAAATGAAATTGAGATCATTTTTAGGTAAAGTAAATCTTTCAGTTGTATATAGTGCGCTATATACAGGGTGTTTTGGAGAGAATTGATGGAAATAGGCCTACAAAAAAGAGTCGGATGGGTAAGACACCTCTTCCAAAAATCTAAGGACAACTTTTCTTATTTGAGTGGCTGCTCCCTCATCGAAAGCACTGACTACAGTGCCCTCCTATACCACCACTTGCTGAGCACCTGGTCATAAATACATTCAACATTTGGCAGATGTGAAGTCGCTGGAAAAAAAAAAAAAAATGAGGCTTATAGGCTTATACTTCTGCACATCACTTGCCCACAGTGTCTAATAGGAGGTCCCTAACACAGGGTACACGAAAGCAGTGGGAATGAAGAAAAAGGAATAACCCAGGATACATGAAATTATCGACAGTTGTTTACTACTATGAACCTTACCACTATTTCTTTAGTACTTCAACTTGGTGTTACTTTTCCAAGTTATTTCCCTATACCAGAGGTTGGCAAACTATATTATGCTCTATAGAGCTGGCCTACTGCCTCATGTTTTTCACAGTCTGCCATCTAAGAATGGCGTTTACATTGTTAATTAGATGAAAAAATTTCAAAGGAAGGATATTTCACGATGTGTGACAATTTTAGTAAATTCAAATTTCGATGTCCATAAATAAAGTTTCACCAGAACACAGCCACACCTACTTATATGTATATTGCTATGGCTGTTTTCATGCTACAATGGTAGAGCTAAGCAGTTGTGACAGAGTTTGTATTGCCCACAAAGCTGAAAATATTTACTGTCTAGCTTTTTACAGAAAAATGTTTGCCAATCTATGCTCTATTACCATATTTATTACTTATTTGGCAACATTTTTACAAAATTTACAAATATGCTTTCTTATAAGTTACAAATATAATCGGCATTTTCTAGTACAATATTATGCATGCTTTTCACCTGCTAATTTTACAATTCCAGCAATCCAGAAGACTTTGGTAGGTAGGCTGCAGTCCGTATTGGGAACTTCTACTCTCACATTTTCTGAGATATCACCCCAGCAGGTCCCCATAGGTGCCTGTCATATAAAAATTATTAAATTATTATCTTATTAACATAAAGCCTAAAATATATCATTCAAAATTAAGCATTACCACCAATAATGGAAGTATTAAACTAAAAATGCCATTGAATTCACTCATTTTTCTCTGAAAATATAACTCTTACTCCTCCTCTTTCACAGAATTTTAATTGGAAAAAGCCAGTGATAGGGTTAAGCTCAAGATGAAAAGAATTCACATGTACTAGAACAGGTCCATGTCAACTTCAAAAGTCAATACCGTCCCAATACAAGACCAGAGCAGCAATTTTTGTAAAACACAAACTTGATAGTAGATTTCACAGGTTAAAGTTAATGTAAGAGCCTCATTATTATTTTAGTATTTTTAAAGTTTTTTTTTTTTTTTTTTTTTAATTTATGATGCCATGATGCTGGGCAGGCCCTATTCCACAATCTTGACATAAACCCCAGAAACTCATTATTTTTAATATGCGCTGAATGAAAACACTTTACCTTAACTTCTAATTTAAAAATATGTGGCCAAAGAGCAGAAAGAAAAATAATTCCAATCAGCAATGTGGTTTCCAATAATAAAAGAGAAACGAAACATACTTAGTTAAATTCATAGGCTAGAAATAAAACAGAAATATGGCAAAAGCCCTGTATAAAGTTATTTAAAAGGTGGAGTCGAAGAGTTTTTGGAGATGCATACCATGTTGTTATACAATTTATTATTTTTAAATTTCTCATGTAGGAGTTACTATAAACAAAGCGAAAACTTTCAATGTTAGAACTAGTTATCACTAGCCTCCACATCAAATGGTTAAGATGGGGACTCAGAAAACCGATCAAATGACTATTATGAAGGCATTTTCTAAAATCTAACATATATTTCCAAATTACAATTTCCATTACATTTTAATCCTTAAAATTTGAGGCCATTTACAATTATGTGGAGCTTATGCAATGGCTAATTAATTCAAATAAGTGAATTTAGTAACATAAATGCTAAAAATACTAAACAGTCTCTGTGGCCCTTGATATCAGCTTCTCATTAAATATAATTTAGAACCTTGATCATAGAGAAAAGGATTAAATGAGATTATAAAAGATCTGATAATACGAACAAATCAGGAAAAGACAAAACAGCTTTAAAGCTCAAAGATGAGTAAACAAAGATATTTAAGAGTTATACGAACTAGCCAATTTGAACACTGGGCAATGTTTTCCATGCAAGGCCTCTCATCATCTGGCAGATGCTAACCCAAAAGGAGGATTAGCCTAAAATAATATTCAATCCCTATCCTCTTAATAGTTTTTGAAATTTCTGAAAGACAGGAAGAACATGTCAAGTAATACTGAATTAGAACTAAGACTGAAAACCAAAGACAGAATCAATTTATGGCAATTGCTTTAAGTAGCAAGCAATGGATATACCTCAATAACTTGGAGATAGTGGCCTATTTCAACTATCTGTGATTCTGGAAGGGTACACTTAACTATTTCCCTGAGCTGTGCCAAAAATAATACGTCCATCATGACTATCTCTTTCTGCTTTTCTTAAATCGAAAGACTGGACTCTTTAGGTTCTGCTATCTCCCCCTGTATCACTCTAGACTGTAGGGCCATCCCTATTGCCAGCAGATATGATCAGAAAAGGAGAGGCTGGAAGGAAAATAGGTAACATAGATTAAACTAAGATATATTAACACAAAGATCATGTAGCCATTTCTGTGAGGATGAACCAATCAGAGCAGACAGATATAGTTAAATATATGTATTGAATTAAGGTAGGGTATTCGACCTCCTTTGTTTGGCTGCCAAATGTTATGAAATGGGCTAGACTTTCATTAAGAAGAAACAGGCATGGCTATGCTGACTGGTTGGGGGTTACGTTGGTATACTGCTAAGTGAATTTGGCATACAGAACTCTTTTTGAACTAGCTATGATAATGTCATACTGACTTAAAAAAAAAAGAAAAAAGCCTTGAATTGTTTGGAGAAAAAAACTTTTAGTCATATTTTATTAAAGAAAACAAAGTGTCAACATGTTGACTTAAAAAATAAAGTTAATATTCACTTTAGTGGGGGATATTATATAATATTTTGGTTCCTACAGTCTGGATTGGTATAGGAGAAAGTAGCAGAAAGTGACATTTGTTCTTGCCTGTAAGTTTGTGGTTCTGCTAGGCCCTCTTAAACCAATCCATATGGTTCACGCTAAGAAAAAAAGGAGAAACGAAAATAACAACAAAAAAGAGCACCACAGTCATTGCATAGTATGTGCTCAATGTGTTGAAATAAGGTAACTTCATAGACATAGCTGCCCTTTTGTTTAAAATGAATATTCTTAAGTGTGGAAGACTAAATGACCCAGGGCTTGACAGCCATCTTCATCCAAGTCATCTGTCTTCTCTTGCTGGCAGGAGGGATACCTCTGAAAGTCTGGATTGGCATAGCATGAACTAGCAGAACCATAATTTACAGGTAACAACAAATTTACCTTCCAGACTCAGGACGAGAGGTCCACCTCAGGCTCCTCCCAAACCAGGAAGATCTGCTTCACCACTTCCTGCTCCAGGGCCACTCGTGAGGGCTATCTGGGAGCGACTCTCCTTCCCTGCAAGGTAAGCTATCATCAGGTCCTGCAGGACATGGCCAAATCCATATGCTGAGGGCTCCCCAGCAGAAATGTATGACAACCTCCACCTGACTGTCTGGAAGAAAATAATTTGGTGGGAAGTCTTATTTTCTGAACTTCAAGAACATTCCCAGATAGTCCAATAGCCCAGATGGCTAGTACTTAGACTCTCAGAGGGCTGATACACTGCTCACATGATGCTTCATGGCAGAAATACAGTTTTCCTTCTATAGAGCTGCCAATCTATAAATTTTGATAATCACACACAATCCTCGATATTAACAGAGTTTAAGTGGGCAGAGGTTAGACTTGAAGTTGCACACAGATAACCAAAAAAGAACCAATCCCAATAATGATATGGCAAATGTAGACAAAGCCACCATTAAAATACTGTAAGACAAATAGGCGTATGATTACTAAAGTGCATCAAGTCGAGATGATGAAATACTGTTTGACTTAAAAAAGGAGAAAATTAACAGAAAATTAACTAGAAAGAAATTAAAACTCCTAAATAATACTTGCTGGAATGAATGGGAAGTAGAAGTAGGAAAAAAAATTGTTCCCTGTTTCTCTACCAAGTCCACTCACCTTTTGATTTGATATCAGAATCTACTTTTCAGGAGTGGTGGTAGTAGAGAGATGGGGAATGCAAGGAGAGTATAAAAGGAAAATGGGATGCTTGGGGTGGAAGTAGGATTACAAATGAGGGAATGCTATGGGAATGTAAAAACAGACAGAAGCAGTGGTTACTAGTTTGAAAGGCATAAAACAGTCCATAATTTAAAAAACCATATAAACCAATATTGTTTAAAAATTGGGAGATCGCAATAGAAAAATAGAAACGATTTTAGAAAACAGACCAAAATTAAGAAAATAATCTACATTAGTTAGGCTTTCTATAAAACAGATGCTTTCCTGAAGAGAATCTATCTCATGGCAACTCACAATAGTTAATTCAGATGGAGCAGTAACAAGTGCCAGAAATCAATTTAAGTTTTGTTTCTATTAGAAAGAAATGCTGTAATGTAGAATGACATAAGTGAAGATTCTAACTTTAGTTAAAATGGCCATGAAGTCATATTTATTTTCAACTTTTAATGGAGTCACGTGTAAGTGTGTATGTGTCAAGGCCAGGGAAAATTTTTTTTTACTTAAGATTATTTTACTAAAAAAACATATACCTGAGAAATAGATAAGTTTTACTCTGAAGATAAACTATTGTTACTGTACATACACAATCAAAAGGGCTTTTGTTTTTGTCCTTAAAATTAAAAAAATATACTGTGAAAACAGGTTGCAAAGAAATATGGATAACCTTTTCACCTCAAAACAGCTGGCGTACAAGTCAGGCACCAAAGAGAGGATTAGAAAATATCAGGTTAGTAATATCAGGTAGTATTTGTGGAGGCAGGATGAAAAACTACATAGTTAACTCAGCTTTAAAGTTATGACATACATGTACAAAGGACCTTTTTTTTAAAAACACAAAACTACAACCATTTTCAAGGGAGAAAAAAGTAGGATGATTATATTTCTGGTTTTAGCAATGACATTATCAACAAGACGCCAAGAGTATATATAGTCCAGGTACCAAACAAAAGAGTTTTAGCTTTTGTATGATTCATATACATTTGCTTTAGCACATTTTGGCCTGTGCCGTAATGCCTAGGAAAGAAATGTTTTACTTGATTTTATAAGGCAAGTAATGGGAAACAGGAGTCCTTCAATTTAAAAGATTACAGTCTTTTAAAAAAAATAAACAGTGCTTTAAAGCTAAATGTTCTGTCTACGGCCATGCCACCCTGAACAAGCCCGACCCCGTCTGATCTTGAAAGCTAAGCAGGGTCGGGCCTGGTTACTACTTGGATGGGAGACCACCTAGGAAAATCAGGTGCTGTAGGCTTAAATAAATAAAAAATAAGGGATGGTAAACTGACAAGGTCCTTGCAATCTGTGAGGTCAACCAAGGGTTGTCTCGCATAAATATAAGTAAGTAAGTAAGTAAGTAAGTAAGTAAGTAAATAAAGTTAAATGTTCTGCCTATACATAGAACAACCGGAGGTTCTCTTGGGTCCAAACATAAATTACTAATAGAAGAAAATAATCTGTGAATTTCATTAATGAATACAGTGCATCTAAATGGCATGTGGTACTTAGTAGTATTTTGGAGATTCTTCCAGTTAGGACAGATATGGTTATTGCTTTTAGGGCCTGTGAACTAAAAGAAAAAAATGTATTTTGGTCTTTGCCCCTGGTTCCTGGCACAGAGCTCTTAAAACCTTTCTAATTCTAAGTGAAAGGAGCACTGAGAGCATCTTTTGTTCTCATGTTTGGTCTTTGATCCTGGTTCCTGACAAAGAGCTCTCCCAAATCCTGAGGAATTTCTTGGGCGATAGGAGTGTCTTCTGTTCTAATGAGGTGACTCTGTGGGTTTCTAGATAGTTTCAGGATGGAAGACGGTCGCCAGAAAGACTAAGCTATGAGCTTGGAACCTTCAGCCCCATCCCTCATCCTCTGGGAAAGTGAGAGGGGCTGGAAAGGGAGATTTGCTTATGTGATGAAGCCTCCATAATACCACTATACGGGGTCTGGAGAGCTTCTATGTTGGAGAACGAGTGGAGGTGCCAGGAGAGTGGTGTGTCTGGAGACATGAAAGCGCTGTGCCTTTTTTCACATACTACGCCCTAGGTATCTCTTCATCTGTAGGGGTCATGGGAACCTAATTTATAGCTAGTCTGTAAGATGGACAGGTGACAATCTGGGATTTTTAACTGGTGTCTGAAGTGGGGACAGTCTTGTGGGACTGAACCCTTATCTTGTGAGATCTGATGCTAATTCTAGGTAGACGGTGTCAGAATTGAACTTAATTATAGAACACCTAGCTAATGTCAGAGTTGCCTGGTGAAAACACACATGTGCTGTCAGGGAGTATTATGTGGTAGTAGTGTGTGAAAGTAAAGGAAACACAGGAGTGCTTTTCCTATAGAGGCTTAATTTAAAATTATGTTAAAAAACAAAAAAGGCTTTGCATTATGGAAAGCAGTTTAAAGCACAAAGTTGAAAATTCAGCTATTAAAAAAAGTAGTAGTTTCTTCATTTATAATAAGAGGTGGATTAGATGAACTAGATGATTTTAAAGATTTATAGCTCTGTGACAACATGATTTAGGATTAATTAAAAGTGGTATTATCTAACTCAGTGGCTTCTAACATCAGAGACTGTCAAGGAACGGGGAGCCAAGGGCCAGGGGCCCAGGCTCTGGCCATACCACCCCAACCCTGCCAGACCAATGAGAGCAGCTTCCTCTTGTCCTAGCTATTAGGGAAAAGTGGAACTCTGATGTTTAAAAAATGTCTGAAAACCACCACCTATAAATGAAAGCTATATCAGATACATGGCAGTCATAATGCACGGAATTCTAAGTAGATACATTTAATGACAACTGGGCTCAATTTCCATTGCTATATTATAAAAAAAGTCAAATGTTGTTGTGACTGATTACAAACTACTATGCATAATTATAGCAATTATCAAAGAGAATATAGTCCCATGATGTACTTTGCAGAAACTTCATTCTCAGAAGTTTACAGACAGCCCATGGAAAGAGGAATTCTACTCTTGAAGTTCTATGATTTTATAACTAATCATCATCATATTTAAGTGCTGGAAAATATAAAGTGTTTACCTGGGATCCCTGCTCAAGGAGAAGAGGTTGGGTTATGTCAAAGAAGCAAGGCAGTCAACACTCTTAACACTGCCCTTACTCCCAACTGCTGCTTCAATCTGAATAGCTCTACATCTCTGTTATACACTGGATGTTTTTAAAAATTATGTTTGTAAACAGAATCCCCTAGGAGCAGGAAAAGGCTCCTGACCTGTGCTTAAGTTGAAGATAAGGCAGAGGTAGAGTCTGGTGGAAGGGGCCCCTACTGATGAATCAGTGTTAGAGTACCCGTCAAACCTTAGCAAGACCAGAAGACTGATGATACAAGGCAGGATTCTCATGCCCCTAGATGCTCTTGACAATAGATTTTCTGAAGCCAAAAGCCAGTAACTACTTGGGAGACCTAGAAAACTGTCTCAGGGGGAGCACCATGAAGAGTCAACACTAAAGAACAAAATCAAGTACAGCATGAGGCCTGACCTCCTAAACCAAAAGGCTTAAAATGAAGATGCTGGTTACGGCAACAAAGCAAACTCATTTGTTCTAAAATATACTAAGAAATTACCAATATTAATTTTTCCTATTTGATAAGGGCAAAGCAATAAAGAATGAATGGAATAAGAAGGTACTGGGTGATAAAGAGGAGGCTCCACAGTATTCACTGTTATTAATAATATCACTAAGGCTAGTTTCTCTATTCTATGATAGAACATTTTAATCTTATAGAAGCAAAGTCAAAAAAAAGTTAATCAATTTCACTGTTGTAATATTTTCTTGTCAAAGAACTTTAATATAGTTTTATTAAAGATATGAATGTGAAATAAAGTACTATCCTATTGGGACTTTGAAATGCTAGTTTAAAAAATATTCTGACTACTTAAACAAAATAGCTTGACATGGCTTATAATATTAAAACATAAAAAACAATATTAAACTAAGATAGGAAAGATATAAAGGCTATTCAAAAGGAGACAACAGGCAAATATTTCAGGAATCTGGGATGAAAGAGTTACTATTACTGAGAACTTAATCTAATTCTAAGCTTCTTAATACCAGAAGGAACTATCCCAAGAGAGGAGAGTTAAAGATTTGCTCAGTAGTTCTTGTTAAAGCTGCCGCCGCCAAGCATTTAACGTATCTCACAAATGTGACACTACTATCAACATCACAGTAAAATAAATCACCTACTTTACATAAGTATCTCAGATTTCATATAGGCTGGTTCAGATAGTCAGCATGCCACCAACTAAGAACTTAACACCTGTACTTTTGATAAAGAAAACTAGCAAACAAATGAAGTTGGCTTTAATTTATATCTCTAACACTGAATTAATATGCTTGGCCTTGATCAAGATCATTTATTGGCCATGAAAGAATGAAAATTCATTTAGATTTCCATAGCGAAAACTCAAACTCATTTTTGTTCACATGCTATTATTTAAAACTATAGCCTTAACTTAATAAAATGTTAGGAGTAAAAAGAATTTCATTCATTAATTTTCTAAATTCTCTTCTGATACATGGTCAGTAGCAGACAGAACCTTTAAAAATAAATTAAACTTGCGGTCAGGTTAAAAAAAATATTGCAGAGAATTTATTACAATTGAATCAAAAAAGAATAAAATCAAAAAGAACTTATCATCAGATACATTTTTAACATAATTTTGAATGATTTCAGATGCTCTGTAACAACCTATTGCTAAAAGAAAAAATGTATTACAAAGGGTTTCCCATGATATACAGGACATATTTTAGTCCACAATACTCTATTACTAATAGTTACTTCTTTGATTTTGTGATTTTACATTTGGAGACAAAAACAAAACTGGGAGAAAGATCCTTCCCTTTCTAAATTATCAGGCCGAACCATATGACGTTGTCAATACACAACTATTTTTGATATATAAAGCCAGCAGTTTTATATGGCTCAACTTAATATGAAAATTGGATGAGATCGGTACTATTGCCTATATAAAATGATTTTAGAATTCAATTTCTTTATATAAAGCCTTACTTAAAAAATTTACAGAATTTATTTTTTAGTTATTTGATTAACGTAGGGAAAAAAAATTCCATTACAATATATAAAATAAAGATCTTCTAAGGATAAGATGCTCAGGTGTTATTGTTCCTTCAGATTTAAACGACGACTAAGTATTTCAATATGAGATGAGAAATTCCATACTCACATGTTTAAAGCAGGTAACTGGAGCTGCTATAAAGCTATTGCTATTGATGTAGTTACCCCAGCTGAAACCTTCCATGGAGACTGCTGCTGAAATAAAATAAATTTAGATATATTACAATGCTCAAATGTTTTATTTGTTAAGATTTTAAAATCTGAAATAATGCAAAATTAATGTATCATCTTTAAAGTTTTTTTTCTGTAAAGATTAAATAACTTCTCTAAATAAACATGAACTTTGGCATATATCATATTTGCAAACAAATAGCAGTTTTAAGTCTTCTACATAAAACATATGCTCTTCAGGAAGTAAACTGAGTTCTCCAGTTATGAGAAGCAAAGAACAGCTGACAGCAAAAGTGTTTGTGATAACAAACGTGGCTATGGATGCTTCTGTTTTCATTCTCACACAGTTCTTTACTGTGCACCATCAGAAAGATGTCCATCTAATATTACCACTTAATACCTTCAACGAGGGGCTTTCATTGCCTATTCCCTACTTACCTCCTTGCCTTTGCACTTCTGTTAAGAATCTCCTATTAGATATGGTTCTTTCTTCTTATGACTCTCTTCTCTCCAAGCCCTTTGAAGCCTGCCAATTGTCTTATTTATTTACCAATTACCTCCACAATGCTTTCCGCCATCCAAAGCATAAAGAATCAGTACTTAAAAAATACTAAACCAAATAAAAAACATTAATATTAAGGAGACTGCCATAAGCACTGGACCTTGTGAATGCAACTATTTTCTTTTGGAATAATTTTTTGAAACCAAAACCATCAGGAAACCTAGTGTCATAATATACTAATGGGGCACAGAAATGGCTTAGTTAGCCAGAATTCAAAATTAAAAGGTCACTAATTAAACCCAGATGAATTAGTATCAAATGTTTCACGTCTATTACATTTACCCATATTACCTGCTTTAGTCTTTGCTTGATTTTGCAAGGTAGCTTGATACTGGGCGTATGCAGCTAGTTTAGCAACTAAAGGTTGTTTCTGAAGAACTTTTGCTTTCTTTGTTGGAGGCTTACCCTAAAACAAGAAGAGTTAAGTAAATAGGATTCTTTTTCATCTCTCACCCACACCAAAAACTAACTTGATTGCATACTATTCATTTTGCTTAAGTAAACATTGAGGGTTTAGAAAATTATTAAAGCAGAGGAAACATACAAGAAATTTTAACATGAAAAATGTTTTCTGGAGTTCTGCCACAATGTAGATATCTAATATGGGTAGCAGAGGTAGCATAGACAAAAAAATAATAGCAATATGCAAATTAATATGTTAATAAAAAAATTACAACCCATAAGATGTTAAAATACAGGCTGTGGTGGATATTTGATTTCTTCTCATACTAGATAAAACCAGTGGTTATTCACTCATGCAGGTTGCCAAGCATTGCTATTTATATGGTAAGAAAAGATAATTTAATGTTTAAAGAGCAAGTGACTGAGGTTTATACCTTTAGTGCTAACGCAAAAGATCAATGACAAAATGATCATGGGCCAAATTCACAGTGTGACAAACTGCCATCCATTTGGGTACAGACCACTGCTCAGGATCTTTAGGTACTGTCTTTCTGAAATATAGAAATACATCTAAGTGATGTATTTCCTTAATTTAGGGGACTTAAATAATCCTTTCAGTGCTATGTAATGATCACAATAATAAGTTAAAGAATAACAAAAATGTGATCAACAATATAAAATACGTTATAAAAATCAGGTATGTAATGCCTTTAAAAAGTTGTTTATATGCTACAATAGCAACAACTTAGACAAATGGTCAAATCTCCAGTCATTTTGTAGGTACTGACTATTGTACATTTAGAGAGATGATTTTCCTCCTACATCATAAATGTTTTCAAAGAGGTTAGTTGGATTAACCAAATACATTTGGTTAAGGTATCAAATGGGTTGTTACCAAGTACGATGCAAAGATAATGGAAAAATAAAACCAAAGGGTAAACCATATCCCCCCACATGTTGAAAGATTCTACCTTGATGTTAGCTCAAAAAAAAAAGGGGGGAGGCTGGGGGGGAGAAAATGGCTTCAATTTCTGTATGTAAAAAAGTATTTATTATATTCATAATTATTTAGAAAAAGGGTATTTTAAATTTACTTAGACAATACAGGTTATTCTGGGAAATATGCTCTGTCTATTTATAATAGCTATCAATTTTATAGACTGAACAAACTTTGGAGCTCACCTATTTCCTAAAAATGTGGGGTATAAAATGATAACTGGCCAATGGGGCAGAGGTAGAGCACAGAGAATCACAATCAAATGACAGATAAACGGTAAAAGCCATAGAAATAACAGATATAAGAATAAGAAGGTTTCTGTACCGTTACCTGAAGTCTGGCCAAAATGCTTGCCTTCTTGGAGTTTGACGAATAACTTCTTGAACATGAAACGCTGCAGAAACGTTTGGTTTTAGAGTAAAAAGCATCTCGCACACCAACCATCCCACACATTTCGCAGGTAGCTAATTAACAAAATAAAAATACTGATGTGATCATATAATAAAACCAATTTTTAGCGAACAGTTTAATAATTTCTCCAACTAAAGTTTTAATTAAAAAAATTTCCTTCTAAGGAAAATTTCTTATTATACAAATGATAGAAAAACCTAGACGAAAGTTAGAGAAAAGGTGGTATGATGCTATAACTAGGGGCTCCAAGTCTATGAAAGGCTTTATAAAGGGTCAAAAGACACAAATATAAGTCAAATTCAACAAACATTTTCTTAGTGTTCACCATGTGCCAGGCATTTTCTCATAGGCATTATGAGCTGCAGTGTTTGAAAGGATTATAAACAAAAGATGAAAAGCGCAATGCAACAGGATTAATTCAAAGTGCAGCATAAGCCTTTAAAATATTGCAAAGATTGAAAACTAAAAAGAGCCAACTCTTGGAAAAATGCTTAGGGTAATACTAGGATTCTTTCAAAATATGTTCAGGGAATGAGAAAAAAGGGGTAAGGTCCAAGCTTGAGGTTAAGTGCTCTATTATTAACTGATAATAGAGAGCAACAAAACTCCAACTACAACTGTACCTCTTCTATAAATTAGTGTAATGGACAATAACCCGAGAGGCAGAATAGAAGAACAAGGGTCATGAGAACTGAAGTTCAAAAAAGAAAAATGCATATACCCAGGAGTGGAAATGCTTAATTATAATGGTAGTTGCACTTTTCATTTTCTAAGGAATCGCCATAGTGTTTTTCATAATGGCTGTACCAATTTACATTCTCAACAGTGTACTAGGATTCCCTTTTCTCTAGATCCTTGCCGGCACCTGTTATCTCTTACCGTCTTTGACAACAGCATTCTAATAGGTGTGAGGTGTTACCTCACTGTGGTTTTGATCTGCATTTCCCTGATGACTGGTGATGTGGAGCACCTTTTCATGTACCTATGTGCCATTTGTATATCTTCTTCGGAAAAATGTTTATTCAGTTCCTTTACCCATTTTTAAATTAGATTACTTGCTTTTTTGCTATTGAGTTGTATGAGTTATTTACGTTAGCTTTTACTACCTGTGCTTTTGGTGTCTTATGCAAGAAACCAGTGCCACGAACAATGTTAAAAAGCTTTTTCCCTGTTTTCTTCTACGAGTTTCACAGTTTCAGGTCTTATATTTATTTAAGTCTTTAGTCTATATCGAGTTAATTTTTGTGAGGGATGTAAGAGAGAGGTCCAGTTTCATCTTCTGTATGTGGATATCCAATTTTCCCATTACGATTTATTGGAGAGATTATCCTTTCTCCGTTGTGCTTTCTTGGTTGGAAAAAAAAGAGGTAACATAGCAAACAACTGCGTGAGCAGGTTCAAATCTCCACTGTAACAGTTCATACTGGAGGGACTTGTAGTTTTAACAGTATTTGTAAGTCTATGGAAATCATGGAAAAAAGGTAAAGTACCAGAAGATTAAAGATGAACAAAGAGGGTCTAAGTGCGGGGGCGGCGGGGGGGGGGGAACCAATGGTTTTTTGCTGTATAAATTCCAGAACAGATTATTAAAAAGGTTTGTGATTATCTAGATTAAAAAAATTTGTGATTTCCAAGGGGACAATGTATCTTTGCCAAGGATTACAGATGTCGACCTAGAATTCCCATGACTAGGAAGTAAACCCCATCAGGGCAGGGACTTTATTCTTTATCGTTCATCTCTGTATCTTTAGTATTTAAAACAAAGCCTGGGACATATAGAGCTTCAATAAACTTTATACCCGATTGTGGTAAGATTACCAGACTGGTATGTTGTAACTAAACCATGGTGAGATACATATTAACATAAGTTAACACATTTGATAAAATCTCTTATGTAGCTTCGTCAACAAGAATTGAGAAATTTAAGCTGAAGCAGAAGACAACTCAGTAGGTTTTAATTGGTTGGATGACCACGCCTAGTGAACTCTAAAAAAGAAAGTGAAGATTTTGATATGGTCTGCAGGACTCTGTACTAGGCCCACTGCTGCTCAACTTTTTAATCAAAAAATGAGAATAGGACCTACGTAGCAATTTTGGTATCATGAATGGAAACACAGTGTTCTGAAAAAGGAAGATAAAAGGCTGAACTACCTTTTGCCCTAATCCCAAAGGGTAACCAAACATCTGCCTGAGGGTATTTTCCAGGGTGTGGGACTTTCAATCCTAAATCCAGGACAGTTTCTAGGCAAATCACAACAGGTTGTTGCCCTACTACCACATAATCTTAAGTATCTCCAAAAGAAAGCGAGCAGGGTATGGATGAATTAAATCACCGTGAAACTATGAGAAATGGCTGAAGCAACTACGATTACTTGGTGTGCCCTAGAGACACACTGATACTATCTGTTCTAGTGTGAAGAAATGTTGTCATGACAAAAATTAGAATTATTCTGTATATCTTTAAAAGCGAAATTAAGACCAAAGACAAAAGTGAGAGCAAGAATAACTTTGGTTCAATATAAAGAATATTGTAATTAGAAATATCCTATCACTGAAAGTGTTAAAACAGAAAACTTCTTATAATGTTCTAGAGGAACTTCTTACAATGTTCTAGAGGAAAAGTTTCTTTCAACCTTACAAGTCACTATATTATCCTACCCTTTACACAGGGATTTATTATCTAATTACGAAATTTAAGTCTACATTAAGTTTCTCAACAGCCTTTTGTTTTCATTTTGTTCTACTTGCTTTCCACCAGAAGGTGGTAGGTAGGCAAAATAAAGAGATCAAATACAAACCCAGTGATCTTATCTAGAACTATAAGTTTCAGACTGTGTTTCTTCAAAACTACTATTTAAAAATTCTAAGGGAGGGAAATGACAGAAGAAATGGAGTCGAAACATACCCTCAAATATAAAGTTGTATAACAGAGAAAGGCTATTCACCTGAAGGCTATATTGTTTATACTCACCCATGCCAGATTTACCATCTGGGTATGTGTAGACCTGTCCATTATTTTTGATAATTGGGAGATTAGAGGGTAAAGGAGCAACTTCTTCTTCACTCTCCTCAGAGCTGGAGCTGCTACTTGTGTCCTCACTGCAGCTATCATAACCGTCAAACATCCCGAATGAGTCTCTTCTTATCCTTTCGGATTGTGAAGAATGTTCTATCTTAAAAGTAGAAGAAATCAATAATACATGATGCAGCACTCACACCCCCTCCCCACTAAAAACCTTTGTTTGAATTTTGGTAAATGAGATTTGAAAAATGAAAATCAAGCCCTGAGAAATTATTTTATTTTATAATAAAAAGCTAAATGTTTGTGTCCGAATGGAGCCCCTCCCTTCCATGAGGCATAAATCTATTAGCTACTATGCTAGCTAATAAGAACGAGGAAAAGACCACTGAATCAGTAGATCATCACGTAATTCAAGTTTTGCCATAAACTAGGTCCGTCACTTCCCTAAAAGAAGAGATGAAATAAGATGATTTTTCTTCAAAAAACTTTGAAATACACATACAGATTTCTTAATTTGCCTTTCATCTGTAAAACTGCAAATGTCTATAATAATTTAGAACATCTAGAAACTATATAGATGCTTTTAAAAATCACTGTAAGAGTTCTGGAGAGAATAACTGAGATTTTAAAATTTCAGTAACACTTTTTAGACATTAACTATTTTGAAAATTATAAAAGATAACATTTTATACATTCGACCCCATTTTTTACCATAAATAATAGCTAAAAAATTTCCAATTATCTCAAGCTAAACATTTCCTTTTCAAAGGAAAAGGACAAGGACACTCTATCATCCTCAGTGAATGCTACTTAAATGTTCCCTCATTTAAAGCCACAAAATACTCCCAAAACGAATACTAATCCAAACTTTCCTGAAATAAATTCTAAAACTTGAGTTTAGTGAGAAGAAAATCAAAAGAAAATAGGAAATAATGAAGAGAAAAAAATATTAAAAAAAAAATCAAACCATCACTAAACATGCAGTGAGTTACAACTAGATCAAATACTATCAATGAAAGACTCTTTAGCATTCAGCCTCAGTTAATATATATATTTTTTATCATCTCATTCTTTATGTAAATTTCCTTTCTGGCTAGTTTAACTTAACATAGCCAATAAGAAAACTGAAATGTGTTGTCCAAAGCTTGACAAGATAAAACCATTCAAATGCATCTCTGAGTTTTATTAATGAACTGTATTTTCAGGTTATACTAGTATTAAACATGTGCATTGAGATGGGAAACTGATTTTCATTTGTATCAGGTATAACTATAAAAGCACCAAAATTGGTTTCTCAATCCACAAAATGGCAATATATATCCAAGTGAATACTGTCTTTTCAGTATTCACTGAATGAAGTCCCTTGGGAGGCTCTATACCTGTTCTACCTCCAGCTCTTTTTAGTATTCTTTCAGAATTCTCCTTTACAGCCAGTTTTAAAAAGAAAAACCTATTGTTTGTGATTACTTTAGAATTGTCCTATCTCCTCCAAAGTTTTCACTAGCCTGCTAACTTATTTTGCAGATTTAGTTCTGAATTACTTTCAGGTATTTCTATAAATCAAATGTATCTTCAAAGAATCAAAATCTACTACCACCAGGAGATTTCAAAAGAATAAATAAGACTCTGATGGCAACTCCAAAAAAAAAAAGTCTAACATTTTGAACAGATAAGGTGGCAGGGAATGGGATAGTCTTGTTTAGGTAAAGTGTGGGGCTAGGAACACAACATTCTAACAGATGTAGATTTAAGACTTTGTGTTTTTAAAACTTAGTATTGCCATTTATTAGCTGTGAACTTGGGCAACTTGTGAGACTCTTTCTTCTCTTATGCATGCAACGTTCAACAAATATTTATCAAGCATTTGTGTGTCTCAGTGACAGAGGCTAATGACAGAGTAGTGTACAGAGCAGATGAGATCCATGGTTCTCACAAAAGTTAGTGTCTACTGGTGGGAGAAATCTAAGCAAGGCCAAGTGATGACGGCAATTAAGATGGGGTAGTCAGCTAGATGCAGTGCTGAGGAAAGACCCTGAGGACAAAAGGGGCAATCATTTAAATATCTGGTGCTCTGTGAAAAAGGAAAGGGCAAGACAAAAGCTTTCAGGGTGGAATATTTTGGCACACTGGAAGGCCAGAAGAGGGTGTACTGGACACATGACAAGGGCCCTTGATGGCCAAGGTATAGAATTGATTATTTTTTTCTGAGGGCAATGGAAAGACATGATGAAATATCATGGTGACTGGAATACACAGTTAATAAACACTGGCTAGAATTCTAAGTTCTAATAAATTTGCACAGCCCAACCCCATGTAGAGATGATCTCTAATATCCACAGTTTCATATAAGCTTGTCCACTGTACAGCCAGCTCGGTTGGCAGCTGATACATATTTACTGACCCTAAATGTCAATGCAAAAATATCTGTTCTGACTCTACTTCTCAAAGAATATAACCCTAAGATTTTAGGGGATCGTAGATTACAAACATTTTGGTTTCAATAATTATAGGCCATTAATATAAAAAAATACTATGGTCAAATAAATTTGTGAAAATTTCATTACTTCAAGCCCTCTTCAAACATTTAACATACTTATGAACATTATGATAAAAGATATAGTATGCAGTCTTTCCCAAAGCATCTTCAAGGACTAATGTTCTAGAGAAATGCTCTCTCACCTTTTCCATGGTGACAGCATGCACAGAAAATGATTACATGACACAAGGGGAATAAGTCTCTGGATGCACACAGCCTGAGGCCTCTGACTGTCCCAAGTACTGCAGCAATGCATGTCTGGACATACACATAATCTAGGGCACACTAGTTGAGAAGCTGTATCCTATTTGGGGAATGCTGTTCCATAACTATTTTTTCTTAGGTTAGGATAGAATACTAGTGAAACGTATATAAATAAACTGTAGTCAATTTATCCTATGTAAAACTTATTTAATGTAGGGGAGCTTGACTGGAAACTCTGCCAGACCAAAAACCCCTAAGGGAGATGCAACTTCAATGAAAGGGTAGGTGGGGAAAAACCTGACTACATGCAAAGAGGATCCAACAAGGGAACTTTCTGCCCATGTTCTGGAAGGGCTTCTTTGGGGTACTGTAATCACAGGCCTGCCCTCCTGAGAATGTCTGAGGTCATAATTTACTCTATCCCTAGATAGTCTGGAAATCCCCAGGTCAAGAAATGAAAGTGGTTCCAGGATACTAGTGCCCCCTGATATCCAGTAAAAGCAATCTTAAATCATCTCAGGAAATAAATCATCTACAATTCAGGCCTTTCAGCATTCCCATAGATTTTATCAAATATGAGTACGCAATCAAATATCAAACACACAATAAGCAATCCACCACAAGCATGTGCCAGCATAAAAAGATCAGGAATCCCAAAGATAGGCACTGGAACTGTCAGAGACAGAATATAAAATAACCATACAAAAACTGATTAAGAATAAAAATAATGTTGAAAAATGAGCACAGGATTAAAACAATCAGCAGATTTAAAAAGAACCAAATATGACTTCTTTAAATAAAAAATATAACCACTGTAAGCACCTCAATAGATGAGATGAACAGCAGATAAGACATGGCTAAAAAAGAATTGGGAAATGGAATATAGACATTAAGAAAATACCCAAAGCAAAGCAAAGCAAAGCAAAACAGAAACATGGAAAATAAAAGGTTAAAAGAGCATTGCATATAATGATCGAATGTCTACTAATAATTCTCAAAGGAGAGAATGGAGAAAGGTATTGCTGAATGAGATACTGGCTGAGAATTTTGTAGAAATAACGAAAACACAACATCACAGAACTACAATATATATTAAGCACAACAAAAAGATATCCACATCTAAATAGATCACATTTACAAATTGCAGAACACCAGGGAAAAGATTTGAAAATCAACCAATCACCACAGTGATTCTCACTAGTCAACAAGTCCAACTCAGGCACATGAAGTCCAATCAGCTGTTTAGGAACTATTGATAGGAACAGACAGGCAAGGACCACCAATCATCTGCGAAAGGTCTCTAAGAATGTGAAAGACCAAAACAAATCTTTAGAAGAAAAGAATCTATAGGAAATAGAAACAAAACACCAAAAGCAAATTTCAAAAAGTGAACTTAATTCTTCAGAAATATAAGAATGGCATACCATCATTGAACATGACAGATTGTATGGAATTTAAAAACAGAAGAGGCAAAGTAACAAACTAAATAAATGGATAATAAAATTAAGGAAATCTTTCAAAAAGCATGTGTGTACATGAGACAAAAAGCCAGATAATAAAAAAGATAACATTTAAATGCAGAAAACCCAAAATCCAAAGAATAGAGATACTGAAGACAGACAAAGTAGATGAGGAAAAAATTATATAAAGGAAGAAAATTAAAAAAAAAAAAAAAACTTCCAGAATCAAATGCGTTTCTATATTGAGAGCATGCAAGCCCAGCTTAATGACCTAAAAAAAGCCAAAAAAAAAAAAAACCAAAAAAAAAACCAAACTATGCCAAGGTTTATTATCATAATACAAATTACAGAACTCTTGACTATAGATACTGAAAGCATCAAGAAAAACTATGCTACATAAAAACAGAAAGGAACTGGGGTATAAGCGGGCTTCCAATAGAAAAATTACTAAAAGTAATGCCTTCAAACTTCTAAAGAAAAAAAATCATATCAAAATCTATACTCAAACCTCCAAGTGAAAATCAATGAAATAAAAATGAAAAACAAAAAAATAAATCAAACAAAAGCTAGTTCTTTGAGGGCAGTAAGATCGATAAACCTCAAATCACATAGACACAAAATTTTCCACTATCATGAATGAGAGATGATATCACTGGATTCTACAGATATTAAAAGGACAGTAAGAATATTAGCAACAACTTTATGCTAATAAATTTGACAACTTAGATGAAATGGACAAATTCCTTGAAAGACACAAAACCGAACCTCACTCATAAGAGATTACCTGCATAGGTAAATAACTATAACCACCTGAATAGGTAAAGAAACTTAAGTTGTAGTTAAAAACCTTGCACAAATTACTCGGAATACTTCCATACAGACTTGTTTTCTGAAATAAAAACTTTCTCACTTCGAGGTTTTTCTCATGATTACATTTAGGTTGTAGATCCC